AATAATTTTAAACAAAAAAGTGAATTAAATTAAAATTATGATATTTTGTAATATAATATCAAATTCTGTTCATATTTGATAATTTTTGAAATCCTATGAACAGCATACGCTGTGTAGTATACATCCTAGTTACGAAAACTATGCGCTGCATTCAAGAAGGGGTAAAAAAGAAACTGATCAAGAGCAGAACTTAACATAATAAAACGAGCAGAAACAGATATATTTTTCAGTTTTCGTTCCAATCCGCTACATGTACAGTATTAAGTAGCTTTGTTTAAATAAAACTATTTTCATGATAATAGTTTGGTTTGCAAATAAAATATTATTTATGAAATGACGAAAAGAAAAAAAAGGAAAAATCAATTTCTAAATTTTCTTGACTATCTACAATGAGAAAAAAATTCTGGTAAAATTACCATGAAGCATAGAAATGATATTCTTGATAAAAAAAAATTAAACCATAACTCTAATAAAAACGAAAATATAAGGTACTTAACCCATTCATTTGGTAGCTTTTCGGTTCATGTTGTAACGGTTTACGGGAAATTCTAATCCTTATCACCACACATTTAATAAAAAATTACAAAACTGAAAAGTAAATTTAACCAAATAAATGGACTTCACATCATGCTCTAAGGTTTTATGATAAAATTACCACATTTATCAAATCTTTATCACATATTATAAAACCATAAATTATTGCTAATTTTACCAAAATCAGTACCAAAGTGCTTCGATAAAAGTTACTGAGTTTTTTAGTGTTCCCATATATCCTAATCTTAATATACCATTTAGTACCCCAATTTTACTATATTCTGGTAATCTTGACCATACTTTTTTCTCAATGTAGAATATAATTAATTGGAAATGCTGAAGGAAAATGTTGGAAATCTTGAAAATTTATGTTCAAATCTTGCACAGTATAAATAATAGGACATCAGCATTCTTGATTAAATATGCAGTCAGGTTTGAAACACTTTTTAAGAGGAAAAAAAACCCTTATTAGAAACCTTTAAAATTTAAAACTCCAGATCTAAGCGACACAGAAATCATAATTTTGATATCAAAAGTGATTTTTAAGAAAATAAGCAAAATATAGACCAAGAAAGATTAATAGTTGTTAGATAATAAATGAGCCTAAAAATAAGATTTTATAAATTAAAAGTTAAGACTTTTTAATACCTAATTTCTTTCGGCGGTCTTTCTATGAAAACTACAAATATTCATAAGCAACTTGTGAGAATCTAAATATTTTATTTATAAATTTAATGAATTGCAGCAACTACGATAAAAGGAATACTTAAGGTCTGTAACAATTCACAGAAATGATATATGTCTTTTATATCGTGAAAATTAACTATTAAAATAAAAAAATTATTGATGCAAAAAAAATGCAGAGATTTTTATTTTAATTTCGTGAAGTATGATATCTTAGTTGTATGCAACTTACTGTTACGCGACATTAAATGCATCCTTATAAGAGTAACACAACTCTATAATTAGATGGCATCTTCAGTAGTTTTAAAATTTAACTCTATTGAAATATTAGTATTCGCTATATTTAATACTATGCATAAAAGAGACATTAGATAAGATTAAATATGATCATTTTAAAATCAGAAACGCCTAAAAGCATCTAAATGCTTTTTAGTTATCTATCTACGAATTAAGATATGATTTGCATACATATTAGGACATAATATAGCGAGTTCGAAAGAGTTTATAGGAAAAAAGCACAGGAATTTTAACGAGAATGCGTGCAAGATAACCCTTAAGTTTTTAACGTAAGAACAATTATTGAAAATTATTGATTATTTGGAAACAATTATTGAAAATTGTTTCCAAATGCAATGCAATGCTTTTGAAAATAAGTTAAAATATTACTTTCAGTTTCCAGTGCATATACAAAAAATGTCAGCAACAGCATTTGATTTTTAAGGTAAGCTTTAGTTTTTTTTTTAGTAAAGGAAATTGGTACTAAAACACATACTTCTTAAAACTTCGTAGTAAATTTTTATTTCTGCTTCATTAGATATATACTTCAAAAGAATAGAAAATATTTTAAATTTGAGTTAAAAATACTGCATATAAAACTCTGTCAAGCCCTCGCCAAATAAATCCATCCAAGCAATCCATGTAAGCAAAGATAAATCCATGTAAGCAATCCATGTAAGCAAAGATAAATCCAAAAGAAATATTATTCGAATTTATAAACTTCATGTATTTAAAATTGAAATGCATATACTCAGTTTTGAGCAAAATGCATAGTCTCAGAGCGATAAGGAGGATGAAATGTGTAAGATCGATGTTCGGTAGAAGTCGGCAGGATTCGCAACCTGGACTACCGGGTGGGTCGTAGGAAGCTCTATTCAATAGTTGGACACCAAATTAGAAAGCTTTATATAGTGGCCGCGGCAATGGCATATCATGACTTGTTGTTTTCTAATTTCAATGGAATAAAGGGTTGCAATTAGGAAAATATGATTCCAATAACTTAGTCAAGAGTCATTATTTGCTTATTTCGCTATAACTTTAAGCGAATGGAATGTATGCAATGATGTGTCGTTGCTGTGTGGCCATCATATAAAGCTTTCTCACCTACCCTAGATTTTGGTATGCAATTATGGTGGTCAGCGCATCTAACTATGAACCCAGAGGTCCTTGGTTAAAATCCTACTAGCCGCCAACGAACATCTCTCATACATTTCTCCATCCACATGTCTTTTGAGATTAAGCATTTTACCACTTTACTCAATAAAAAGTAGACGTTGTTTAAAATTTGAATACATGGGGTTTTCAAATTCAACTATTATTTGAGTCGGTGATATTTTAATCCATTTTTCTTTTACAATAAATGAGTTTACAAAAAAAGTCATGAAAAGTGCTTTATGAATTACGAATTAGTTCAAGCCTACAGACCCATACAAATTTTTTCAAGAGAATTGCATGAAATTCAGTTTTGTTTCAATATAAAATGTAATTGAAGTCCATCGTCCTTTTTGGGTTAATTTTTAAAATACAAGTAGAAAGGGATTATTTGCTTCTGTGTACAATTTTTTTCAAGTGTTTATTTCTTTTATATTTAAATAATTTCAAAATGTATCATTAAACT